CTGCAGCACCACCTCTTTGGTTGCCTTGGTTCCAAGGTTTCTTTTGATTCGACTAGTTTCCTCCTTTGTTGCCATTCCAGCTACCTTTGCCTTTTCTCTCCTTTTCTGTCTGTGCCTGCAAAGCCATATCTTTCGACTTTCCTGCAGCTCTCTCAGCCATCCTCTGTTCATGAGACTCAAGAGTCCCTTGAAGCTCTTCCTTCGTCAACACTGACAGATCTTTCGACTCTTCTATGGCAACTACCACGTGGTCGAACTTTGGAGCCAACGATCTCAAAATCTTTGAGACAACTGCTTTCGTCGTCAGCGCTTCTCCACATACTTTGATTTGATTCACCAACTTTGTAACTCTGGTGAAGAAATCTGTAATGCTTTCGTTGTCTTCCATCTGAAGCAACTCATAGGTTCTCTTGTGAGTTTGTAACCTCACCTCTTTCACCTTCTTTGCACCTCCAAACGACTTTTCAAGAATCTCCCATGCTTCTTTTACTAAATCAACATCACTAACCTTTTCAAAGTTATCAGGATCAACACACTGATGAATTATAACGAGTGCTTTATAATCCTTCTTCTTCAATTCTTTGTGCGCAGCCTTTTCTGCCTCTGTTGCATTCTCCACAAGCGGTGTCACTCCGTCCTTCACAAGATCCCAAAGATCTTGATAACAGAAAATCACTTTAACCTGCTTGCACCAATTCTCATAATTGTCTTTCTTGAGAATTGGCAGGGTCGCCGGAAAATTTCCGTTCGGATAGTTCATCGCCATCACTATCTTCCTTCCTTGAATCTCTTAACCGGAGCTCTAGATACCAGATGTTGGAAATTCACCTCACACCCTATGAAGAATTCCCTTCAATCTTGATCTCAAGATTGATGAACAAACCCACAATATGATAATGATGGTAATAACAAGTAATTATCAAGAGCAACAAAAGAGAAGAAGAATAACAAACAAGAAAGAGAAGAATGAGAGAAGAAGTATTTGGAGAGAATGTGTTACCCACAACTGTGGGATTTCTTATTGAACTTTCACTTGATAACTGCAACTGTGAAATCTGTTCTGTTGTGATGTAGAATACAAAGCAAGGCACCCTATTTATAGTTTTAGGTTTACACTAGCCCAAAACATAAAAGGCCCAAAATATTCTAAATCAAATCTAATCATATGATATCAAATCTAATCATATGAAATCAAATCTAATCATATGATATCTAATCATATCATATCAAATTAATCATATGATATCAAATCTAATCATATGATATCAAATCTAATCTAATCATATGATATCTAATCATATCAAATCAAATATGTTTACACAATGAATTATATTTAACAATCACAAGCTATGGTAAAATATACAATTCATTATGTATAAGTTTTAGGTGCTCAAAAACTTTTATCTAAACCCTAGTAAAATTTTCATATCATTCATGCACGATTCCCATTCAAAACATACATTTAACTTGGAAAAGATTCAAGTTTTCATTTGGAACAGTCAATTGACATATAGGTATTATTGATTGTCATGAATTCCATGGACTCAATGCATGGCTTGAACCTTTAAACAACAATTTTCATATCATTCATGCACGATTCCCATTTAAAACATACACTTAACTTAGAAAAGATTCAAGTTTTCATTTGGAACAGTCAATAGACATATAGGTACAATTGATTGTCATGAATTCCATGGACTCAATGCATGGCGTGAACCTTTAAGCAACAATCGACTGTGTCATTAGAATAATTTATTAGGGGGATAATTTTAACCCACAATTGATTGCTGTATTACTACTATAGACCATCTCTTTATTTTCTTCAAATTTTTAAACGTTGGATGAGAAATAATCAATTGTCATCCTAGACCAATCAATTGTCACATGTAGCGTCTTGAAAAATCTGAAACAATGTCATACCCCTTCGTTGCATATGATCATGATACACTTTTCATAGCATTGCAAATTCTCATAACCATTTTTTCAAACATTGACATTATTTCTAGAGGCACCTTGTGAAATATTTATAGCAAGAATTTTCAGATTTCAAATTACCTATTTCATCAAACATTTTCAAACAATTTATCTGTGCATTTGTAAAATCTCTTAGAAGCTTTACTGCATAATTTTCAAACAACGTAACTTCGATGTGCCCACTACTTAATAATTTTAGTCTAAAAGATTAGTTAAGGGGGGAGTAAAAAGGTTCCAAAGGTGATGTGCAACACAAACCTTTTCTGGATCATGTCGATCCTTCGAACGTTATTAAGTAACCCGCCTAAAAATCCTTCAACCAAATTTCTCAGCCACCTACAAGTCAACCATCTACTACATTTGCAAGACACACATACTTGTCACATTTATTGTATTTTTGCATGATTGCATAGAAAATATTTTTGATATGGAGACATGGGGAAATTATAGTTTTCGTGTGATTGGTGATTTGCTTTAGTTGAGTGAAGATTCTTGTCCATTGATTCAAACACAATTAAATGTTAAAGTTTATTATCATAAATGCTTATTATTTAAACTGTCATAAAAACTATCCTCAGATTGTTGATATTACTATAATACTTTTATCATTGTTGTAAATATTTAATTTAAATAAAATTTTGCTTTATATACTATATAATTTGCCCTAGTCTATAATGAGTTGTTCTATTATTGTATATCAAGTATTCGATATAATTTACCTTTATATACTATATTGTTTGGAGTTGAAATATTGAAAGTAAATAATAAAATGACTTACATTTACTTTAATATAATTATTTATTTATTTTGATAAATTTGATATTTTCAATACTTAAATAATCATTGTCACATAGTAAAAAAAACAGTGTAACCAATAAAAAAAGTGGTATAAAGATTATGTAACTGTAAAAGTGTTTTCTGAACAAAATATATGGACTAAATTGGGTTGAAAACCATGATCTAATCAATAGACAACAGTTATATAAATGTATCTCAATCAAAACAATGGTCTTAAACTAGTTCAAAATTGTCGTTTGGTTAAAAGTTTATATATTTTTAAATATTTTTTATTTGAATAACTTTAATTGGTGGTATTCGGGTGCCAACTTAATTAGGATGTTAAACCGGTTATGCATTTTCACTTTAAATTTAAATTAAAAAAAAAAAAAAAAAAATATATATATATATATATATATATATATATATATATATATATATATATATATATATATATATATATATATATATATATATATATATATATATATATATATATATATATATATATATATATAATTTTGAATAAAATTATATGAAATAGAACTTAATTAATAACTAAAAAATATGTTCATTGGCAAAGGAGAAGTATGTTCTAACTTTTTTTTTTTTTTTTAATTTCAAATAATATAGTAAATATATTATTTTCGAATTATGTTAATATTTTGTGTATTCATTAATATTTTTATTGGTATCACTTGTATGGTTAAAGATAACTTTTTATTGGTATCACTTTTTAAAAAGATTAAATAATACATGTATTGACCATATTATAAAAATAAGATAAATTATTTTAAAATAAAATATCAAATTTTATAAATTTTTTTAATATTCTAAAATTAACTTAAAACAAATAATATGAAGAAACAAAGAATCATCAATAAAATTTTTATGAAAAAAGATAGACGATATATCATATAATATATATAAATTTAAAAGTAAAGTTGAATTTAAATAGATAAGGACAAAGTCTTAACTTAAAATAGTCCAGATTATAAACTTTATTTACTCATATTTAATAATTGTTGAAATTTAAAGAAAAAGTAACTCGCAAATAAGGCGTTAAGTGAGTTGGCAATATGACTATGACTAAAAAAAATTTTTGATAAACAATTCAACTGGTATAAAAAAGGATTCCTCATCCTCGTCTTGAGGACTAAGCTTATAGAGGATCTAACTCATGTGATAACTTAAGACACTTACTAAAGATTAGAGATCCTAATTACGCTGGATTAGTAAATAAAATAAAATAAATTTAAAATTAAGACAAAAAGACAAATAATATGAACAGAAATGAACAAGATGATTCGGTGGAAAATAAAAAAAAAACAAAATATAATGTAAATAAAAAAAATAAGGATTGCTTTACGACGATTAAAGATCACAATATATGTCAGGCAATTAACATGTTTGACTTCATGCAGATAACCCCAAATAGTGAGTTTGCGCAGTAGTTTACATAAACCATGGGTGAATGCATTTTTTTTTGTTTTCTATTTTTTAATAATTTTTTTTACACTATATAAACAATACTACTGACATATAAATGACATAATCTCTCGTACAGATAATACTAATAAGAAATTATATATACTTTGGAGATAAGAGAAATTGTAGATAGAGATCTAACTTTTCAATTTCACTAATTTCTTTCAAATTTGTAAGTTTTTCTTCTTGTCCTCCCATTTTATTTTGATGTTTTTTCTCTTGATCATCAAAAATTTTCGATTGAGTATAAATTGTTGTGTAGAAAAAAGTGAATTAGAATTATGCTAATTCAAATTATAAGTATTTTATTTATTATAAAACAATTTTTCAGATGTATTAGTGTTGCTGTCCTTCGATTTGGATATAAAATTCATCATTTTGATTGAATTTATTTATATGATTAATTCTCAAACACTAAACACTATTATATTTGAACCTTTTTTCTATGGTAACTTACAAATATCTAATATTGAATGTTAGTCTTCTTTAGAACAATAAATCTTGATTTTTAATAAGATGGTATTGACAATTAGATATTCATTACCATGTGTGTTATATTTGTGTGCATGTGTTGTACCCATAAAATATTGATGTGTGATTTTATGCCCACTTCTTGCAATTTTTCAATAAAAAGTTAGTATATGGAAATTTTTCTATAATATTTTTTATCAATTTAACATTTGTAATGGAATGTTTTCATATATCTTTACAGATTTAAAGAAAGAAAACATAACCAAATATAGAAAAAAAAAACATAAGCGATGTCTAAAACCATAGAAGACCGAATGGAAGATCCTAATGAAAAGGAAGATCAAAATAATCAAGAAGAGGAAAAGCAAAAGATTGCGAGTTTCCTTTCTCATTCAAAAGAAAATAACAATGGAAAACGACATGCTGTCGAGACTTCTGATCCGAGTTTTCTTATTCAACAACTTGGTCGGGATATATCAATTCACTGTCTTCTTCAATTGTCAAGATCTGATTATGGATCAATTGCAGCATTAAATACGGGTTTTCGATCACTAATTCGATCTGGAGAACTTTATCATCTTAGGAGAAAAATGGGAATATTAGAACATTGGGTTTACTTCAGCTGTGAAGTTTTTAAATGGGGGGCATTTGACCCAAATTGTGGTCGGTGGATGCAATTACCTAAAATGAATTGCGATGAATGCTTTATGTTATCTGATAAGGAGTCATTGGCTATTGGTACAGACCTTTTAGTTTTTGGTAAGGAGCTAATGGCTCCTAAAATATATAAGTACAGTCTTCTAACAAATTCGTGGTCAGTTGGGAAAATGTTGAATACTCCCAGATGCTTGTTTGCTTCTGCTAGCTTGGGAGGAATTGCCATATTAGCGGGTGGTTGTGATATGTGTGGTAACATCTTAAGCTCTGCTGAGCTCTATAACTCTGATAGTGAAAAATGGGAAATCCTTCCAAACATGAATAAAGCAAGAAAATTGTGTTCGGGTGTATTTATGGATGCAAAATTTTACGTTGTTGGTGGGATTGCAGCTGACAAAATAACGCAACTTACATGCGGTGAAGAGTTTGATATGATTACAAAAGAATGGCGTGAAATACCCAATATGTTCTTAATACGAAATAACGTGCTTGAGACACCACCCCCTTCTGGATCACCTCCTTTAATTGCTGTTGCAAAAAATATATTGTATGCTGCTGATCATTTACAACGGGAAGTAAAGAAGTATGTTAAAAGAAACAACTCGTGGGTTACCATTGGAGGATTTCCTCAACAAGCAAACTCAATGAATGGTTGGGGACTAGCATTTCGGGCATGTGGAGATAAGCTAATATTTCTTGGAGGTCATGGTCTTCGAGGTGGAACCATGCTTGAAATTAATGCTTGGGTCCCAGATGAAAATGCACCACAGTGGAACCGGCTTGGGACAAAGGAATCAAGGAGTTTTATTCATAACTGCACTATTATGGGATGTTGATGATGTTTAGTGTTGTATGTATTTTATTTCTTGCTGTGATTTCAAGATTAGAATTTATCCCCAAATCTTAGTTTTCATTGATTTTGTGTATGTTTATGAAGTAAGATACTTTTGTAATATTGAATTATGTTATTTTTATTCTATATTATTGTTTGTGTTTTAATTTCAATTTTTTATTGTTGGCAGGGGAAAATATTAAGGTAATGATGGATTTTTGAAGAATTTTATTTTATTAAATGTTGGATATAAAGTATAATGAGGTTTTATATTTTGTATACTGATAAAAAAAAATGTTACAAGAAAAGTTAGTGTTATAATCTTTTAAGACTTATAATTTATAAATAAAAATACATGGTAAAGTTAAGAAGTGTAAGCCTTTGAGTATTTTATACTAGTTTTATATAAAATAATTTACTTAGCTTTTGTTTGAGAGGATATTTATTTCTTGACATGCTAAGTAATATTCCTTATAAATTAATGTCACTGTTATTTCTTGAAATGTTTTGTATATGTTTATTTGTGGTTGTGTGACTTGCTTATAATAAGAGGGTTAGGTATATGTGGGTAGAATTACTGGCGAAATTATTTATGTCAATATTTATTGAAGCCTAATTGTAGAAATGGAAACAATTTTATTTAAATATTCCTAAAATTAGTTAAAATTACTAAGGCTAAATTATTTCTGTCAACATTTATTGAAGTTTAATTGTAGAAGTGAAAACAATTTTATTTAAATATATTTAAAATTATTGGTTTAATTGCAACGATGATCCTCTTATTTTATATTTTTTTGAGTTTTGATCCCCCATTTTAAAAATCATGATTTTAGAGTTTTGAGTTTGATTTTAGTTCCCTTTCCAATTTTAGATTTTTTTTAATGATGTGAAGTTATCTAAGATGACATGTCAATGCCATGTCATTTTAAAATTAATTTGAGATTTTTTTATTGATTAGAATAATTAATTAATTTATACTATTTTAATTAATAAATAAATTAACGATTATGATTTTATTATTAATTTTTATAATTAATTAATTAATCAATTTTTTAAATGAAACAAATATTATAATTAAGTTTTTGAATGTGACTAAGCCCAAATATTACTACAATCTACTTAAGTTACTATCACTTGTTTGTTTTAACTTTATATACCTTTTCAAAACTTATTCATAAATCGATGTGGGGCTTTTGTCCACACAGCTTGTCCTTCTTCTCAAACTTGTGTCAATTATATCAACATCTCCTCTTCTTCTTCATTTTGCAACTTCTCTCGCTCATTACTTTTCACCGCCATTGATGCACCAATGTAAACTACTTAGTAATCATCAAATTGAAACAAAGTCTGGTTGTAGATTGTTATGAATGAGGAACATGAACTTATTAGCAATGATGAGGATCATGGATTTCAAGTCAAACTCAGACCCAAAAGAAACAGTGTCAGGCCCAGACATTTCCAAGACTTTGTGATTCCTTCTCTTAAGAAGGGGGGTAGGAATAAGTGAGTAAGCTTCTAGAAGTCTTAGGGAATATGTTGTCTTTTTCTGTTGAGTCTGTTTTGCTTAGTCACAGGCTGCTAGATTTTATTACGTCATAAGTTTGTTATGCCACTCACAAGTTTGTTAGGCTAGCGAGATTTCCTTGGATTCTCATTTAGTTTGGCTATATATGTATTCCTTGGTTGATGAATGAAAAGGCAGACAAAAAGAATATTGCTAAAGTTAGTGAGTATCTTTTCTTTACTGCATAACCTCCTTCTCCCCTGTTCACAGTTCATAACAATTTGGTGCTTTTCATTGATCATGTCTTCACCTCCCATCATTGAAGAGCTTGCAGCTTCCATCAACAGTCTCATCCTTAATCAACAAGCCTTTTAGAATCACATCACTGATGAGTTTCAGTGCATTCGTACTCGCATTGGCCCCCCAGGGTTCAATCTGTCTGGTCCAACCATGACCACCATGTCGGCGACGTCCATCAAGTTGGACATTCCATGCTTTGATGGCTCTGACCCCATGGGCTGGATCTTCAAGATCAACCAGTTCTTCGACTACTACTTGACACCCGACGAACAACGTCTCCGGATTGCCTCGTTTTACATGGACGGGGAAGCGTTGCCGTGGTTTCAATGGATGCACTCCAACGGCTAGATCCTCACATGGTCATCGTTTCTTCACGCGCTGGAGACGAGATTTGCACCATCACAGAATGAGGATCCTAAAGGAGCTCTGTTCAAACTCACCCAAACTGGCTCTGTGAAGGAATATCAAGGTCAGTTTGAGCTGTTGGCTAACAGAATCACCGGCTTACCACCGCCTTTTTATCTCAGTTGTTTCGTCTCCGGCCTTAAACCGACAATCTGTCGGGAGGTCCAGGCGTTTCAGACACTCACACTCACACATGCTATCAATCTCGCCAAACTTCAGGAGGAGAAATTAGTAGATCGGGCTTCACATTCTTCTGTCCCAGCAAAAAGCCTCCCAACCGCCACTACACTGCTTCCACCCTCATCTTTCCGGCCAACAATGACGGTCACTTCTCCCAAAACTACCCCCATCAAACGACTCTCTCTGGCCGAGTTACAAGCCCGTCGTGAGAAGGGATTGTGTTACAACTGCGATGAGAAGTATACTCAAGGTCATCGTTGCAAGCGATCGTTCCATTTGTTGATTGTGGAACCAGACGAGGATGCCGACACCACCTTACAGCTACAACTTTCGGAAACCGTGACCCAAGTTGAAGCTGTTCACCAGGAACCCGACCCGACCCAGATTAGCTTACATGCCTTCATGGGCCATTCTATTCCCCAAACACTGCGCGTGTTGGGCCAAATTCGCCAAAATCCAGTGGGTGTCCTCATTGACAGTGGCAGCACACATAACTTCCTACAAGATAGAGTGGTGAAACAATTGGACCTCCCTACCCAACCGGCCCAATCCTTCAAAGTGCTTGTGGGAAACGGTGAGCAACTCTCATGCACTACCATGTGTTCTCAAGTATCCTTATTACTGGGCCCACATGAGTTTACTGTGGATTTATTTGTATTACCACTAAGTGGGGCAGAATTAGTTTTGGGGGTGCAATGGCTTAAGACCTTAGGCCCAGTGTTAACAGATTATAATAAACTCACAATGAGTTTTTTACATTGATGGGAAACCGGTCCAATTATCGGGGGCTCCGAAACCAAGTCCACAGGAATCCAATATCCACCAACTTCAATGTCTAGTTCATACTAACACTATTGATACATTCCTGCACCTGCAACTTATTGACACAGAAAACATAAACAACGAACCTGCCACTCAACACCCCCAAATTTCTCCAATCCTTGACAAATTTGAAGCTCTCTTCCAAAAACCTACTGCCCTTCCACTGATCAGACCAGTAGACCACAAAATTAACCTCTCAAATTCCTCCAACCCAATCAATGTGCGACCCTATCGCTACCCTCATTTTCAAAAAAATGAGATTGAGCTTCAGATTAAGGAGATGTTAGCCAATGGTCTGATACAACCCAGTGCTAGTGCGTTTTCGTCACCCATATTGTTGGTTCGGAAAAAAGACGGGTCTTGGAGGTTTTATGTTGATTATAGAGCGTTGAATGCCATTACCGTCAAAGACCGATTTCCCATTCCTGCCATCGATGAGCTATTGGACGAGCTTTATGGCACTCAGTGGTTCTCAAAGTTGGACTTACGTTCTGGATACCATCAGATACGGATGGCTCATGGGGATATCCATAAAACGGTGTTTCGCACCCATCAAGGCCACTATGAATTTCCGGTAATGCCCTTTGGTCTCTGCAATGCACCATCTACATTCCAGGCTACTATGAACTTAATTTTTGAACCTTTCCTGCGCCACTTTGTTATTGTCTTCTTTGATGACATCCTGATATATAGCCCCACTTGGGATGCTCACTTGCAACATTTGGAGATTGTTTTTCAATGCTTGCTTGACAACAGTTTCTGCCTGAAGCGATCTAAGTGTGTAATTGCTCAGAATTCAATTGAATACCTTGGACATGTGGTGTCGGCTGAAGGGGTAGGACATGATCCTTCAAAGATTGCTACAATGATTGATTGGCCAAAACCTCGCAACGTTAAGCAATTGAGAGGGTTCCTTGGGCTGACTGGTTTTTACCGGAAGTTCGTCAAACATTACACAACTATAGCTGCTCCACTCACAACTTTATTAAAACGAGACGCTTTTGTTTGGACTGAATCAGCTCAGGTGGCATTTGAAAAACTGAAGGAGTCTATGAGTACCGCACCGGTATTGAGTTTACCTAACTTTGAGGAACGCTTTATACTCGAAACAGATGCCTCCGAGAGTGGAATGGGTGCGGTATTAATTCAGCAGGGTCACCCCATCTGCTATTATAGTAAAAAGTTTTGTCCTCGACTACTCCAGGCATCTACTTATGTTAGGGAACTCTGTGCTATTACGTCTGCAGTCAAAAAATGGAGGACATATCTCTTGGCTACTACATTCACGATACATACAGATCAAAGAAGCTTACGGGAACTGATGACTCAAGTGATACAGACCCCAGAACAACAATTCTATCTAGCCAAGCTGCTAGGCTACTCTTATGAGATTATTTACAAACCCGGGGCACAAAATCGGGTAGCTGATGCCTTATCTCGTGTGCATTGTTTAGTGATCACAGTTCCACATTTGGATTTCCTTGAGAAATTCAAGGCACAGCTGAATGTTGATGATGAATTCCAACAGTGGATTCAAAACATTCAAAATCATCCTGAAACCTTCCCTCATTTTCAGATCAAGGATGGACTAGCCTTCTTCAAAGGGAGACTATTTGTACCAGCCACTTCCTCCCTGAAACACATGTTATTTGAGGAGTTTCATGCTTCACCCCTAGGAGGACATAGTGGAGTGCATCACACTTTTAGCCGTCTTCAAGAGAATGTTTTTTGGTATGGTATGCGTAAAGATGTAGCGACATTTGTCAAAGCTTGTGCGGTGTGTCAACAAACCA